ATTTAATTTTTAGAAGGTCCCATTCATCTAGTTTCTCTTCAGCTGTTTGTGCATTTTGGGTTATGCTTGATAGTCTATTTATGCCATATATTAGGGCCCCTAAATTTGCTCCTAGTTTTTCCTTGAAGAACTTTATAGTTTTAGGTTTCACATTTAAGTCTTTGATCCACCTGGAGTTAGCTTTCATGTATGCTGTGAGGTACATATCTTGTTTCATTTTTCCACAAATGGATATCCAGTCTTGCCAGCACCATTTGTCAAAGAGAGCACCTCTTGCCCATTTAATGGATTTCAGCCCTTTGTCAAAAACCAGCTGACCATTGGTCAGTGGATCTATTTCTGGGTTCTCAATTATGTTCCACTGGTTTATGTGTCTGTCATTATACCAGTAGCAGGCTGTTTTGACTACTGTGGCTGTACAGTAGGTTTTAGATCCAGGAATGTGAGATCTCCTACTTTCTTCTTCTTCAATAGTGCTTTGCTTATTTGAGGTCTCTTTCCTTTCCATATAGTTAGTGATTTGTTTCTCCATATTCTTAAAGAATGCTGATAGGATCTGGATTGGGATTGTATGGATTGCTTTGGGTAGCACTGACATTTTCACAATGTTCAATCTTCCTATCCATGAGCATGATATATTCTTCCATTTATGTAGATCTCTTATGGTTTCTTGGACAGCGTTGTGCTTTTTAAAGAACCATTTCACAGGATCAAACTGACAACAGCAACTGAAAAGATTAGATAGGAATTTTATGGGATGCTGAGCATGCATGCACTGGCGGTTGCCAGGTGGTCAAGACCAGGATGCCCGGGTCATTTGTCACTGGTTGGATAGTACAATAACTCTCACTGATGTTCCCAGATGTGCAGGGCTACACAGGGGTGGCCAGAACACAAGTCTCTGAGGGTTTTTTTTTGGGGGGGCAGGTAGTATGCAGGGGCAAGGCAGGTGGAATGCCACCAGCCCATGGACCCCCACTAGGAGGGCATGTCCCTGTCCATTAGAGCACAGCATGGGGGAGGGTTTGCTGCTGCTCCTCAGGCTTCTGGCACCCATGGCTAGAGGGAGTAGGAGGCACCAGCACCACTGTCTACAGGCTACCACTGTGGATGGCTGGCTATAGGAAAGGGTGCTTCAATTTTGTGGGCTCCTGGCACCAGTGACCAGGTGGAACAGTGGGTACGACTGCCCCGTGGGCCCCTCGATACAGGTGGCTGGGCATAATAGTGGACACCACTGTTCCATGAGCCCCTGATGCCAGTGGCCAGGTGAAGATAGGAACTGCTCTGGTCCATGGGCTTCTGTCTCAGGGGATGGGGTGGTGGTAGGTGCTGTTAGACCACAATCATGTCGTGGAGGGAGACGGATGAGGGGGTCTGGGGAGTACTGCAGCTCTACAGGCTTCTGGCATGGGGGTGGTACTCAGTGGGTGAGGTGAGTGCACTTAATTTTCTCAGGGTAGGGAGGACTCCTGCCTGGCTCTGGACATGGGTACACCAGGCAATGGGGTTTCAGCTGGGAATGCTGCTCGCTTTGTCTCAATATGCCCATGCTGTAGGTTCAGCAGGCAAGGTACTACTGATACGAATTCTGGGTGTCCACTGTTTTTGTATAGTCCTCCCTCTACTTGGCACTCAGTTCAATTCTTCAGCCTTGCCTTTGGTGCTCAGAGCTCCAAAGTTGTCATCTACAACTCATTCACTTGTTTCCTCAGGTCTTTGTTGTAAGAGGGATGTTATGAGGTGTATGAGTATGCTGCCATCTCAGACCATCTCTCCACAATAAAATATTTATATTGAAAAAAAAAAAAAGGAGTGGGCATCCGAGGTCAGAGAAGTGAAAGGCCTTGCCCAAGGTCATAGAGGTAGAGTCCCATAATTCTACTTCTTCTGATTCCAATCAAAAGCTATTTCCATTATACCACACCTGCTTCTCTGCAAGACTGTAGCCTCTCTTTAGTTCAGGCCAGCGCACGTTTTTATTTCTGTGTCCTTCTGTAAGTCACCAGTATTTGCCATGCAGCAAAAAACTGCAGAAACTGGGTCATTTTCAACCACTGCTCACAAAATACAAGTGGGTGTGTGCCATGGATATCCAATTCTGGAATATCTTTAATTGGTCAAGTTTTAAACTGGGTTCCTGAGCCCCAAGAGGACAAGGTGCTGCTGCGAATTTATGGAGCTTTAAGCACTGCAGCCTGGGCAGACGACTCTGCAAGTCATCCTCAGAACCAACTACAGTATTTTACCAGGGACATGGCCGAACCCCGCTGCTATGTACTGTACACACTTCACAGCGATGTGCTTCCCTACTATTTCCCTTATTCTTATTCTAAACCACAAGGTCAAATATACTCATGTATGAGATCAGTCTTTAAAGGCTGAATACAGTTCTTGGCTTTTGTGCAGCTATGTATACATTTTAAATAATTTATCTTATATTTTTGTTGCTGTTGTTGAGAATATACACACACATCAACAACATACACCAATTCAAGTTTCCACACGTACACTGCAATGACATTGGTCCTTTGAATTCAGCAACCATTCTCATCATCCTTTGCTGAGTTGCTCCTTCCCCAGTAACGTATACTCACTGCCCCTTAAGGTTTGTGTAGCTATATTTTTAATAAATTTCACAAAAGCATTTAAGTATGTGTGGTTATGTTTGCAGAAAGGAGTAACAATTCCAAGGAAAGAAATACAAACCCTTAATATGCTGTGTTCCTGTTCAATGAGATTTGTATACGAAAGATTAATCATCTAAATACTTGTTTACAAATCTAAAGATGAACTAGTTTATGGAACAGGAGACAAAAGCATTGCAAAATGCAATTAATTTCATTTTTAAAAATCCCAGTTTGAGAATATAAAATTAAATTGAGCCATGTTTCCAAAGCCAGAGGTAATTAAATCAGGAAAGTCAGCAGCTGGTGGCGTGGCTGCCAGGGAGATTAAGGAGTTGCTAGGGCACTGTCTGGGACATCTGGCCCCAGATCGCCTCTTACCTGGATGCATCTGCTCCGTGGAGCTCCGCAGCTTGCTGTAGCCATGGCTCAAGGGCACCCTCTGGTAATGAGGCGGGGAAGAAGGAGGGGAGGCGAGGGGTGACATCGTGGGAGACTGTGTTTCCTGCTGCAAAGAACCAGAGCAGAGTTCAGCAGCGACACTGGAAGCCGGGTGAGCTCAGCAGCAGTTATGAAGGATAATGCCACTCCAACTGCTGATGACCCAGCAGATCTGACACGGGGGAAAGGGCTCTTAAACAATGCACGGTCCAAGGAGGTAAAGTCTTCCAAGAGAATCCAGTTGGCTAAATTACTAAGCCAAGCCAGAAATGCTTACAGTGATGCCAATAATATTCCTTTGAGAAAATTAAAGGCACTGATCACATCAAGTAACATACATATCTTCCAATCCTGACCTCTTTCTGTATAAATGTAATTTTAATTCATTAACAAAGATTCCTATTTCTTGGCATTATACTTATCAAGTCTTTCAGCAAATGTGAATATAAAAAGAAAAAATAAGTAAAATGTTTTAATGCTAAATATTCTTGGATTTTACTATGCCAAAGTAAAACTGTTTTACACTGAGAAATTACAAAACAAATCATTAAGGGCAAACTACTGCAACTAGCCTACTTCTGAATAAGAAGGATAAAGACTTAACAAGCTACAATTCAAACTGCAATTCTACCAGGAATTTGATGTAGAACCTCGGGCAAGGTAAGCAACCTTACTTTGCTGCTTGGTTTCCTCCTCCTGTTTTGTGAAAACGCTACCAATAGACTAGTGGCTTTGGAGCACCTGACCAACAAAGTAACAAGGAAACAGTACTTTCCATCAACACAGAGAATATAAAGATGCCCCAAGTATAAAGAGGACTATCCAATCTAAAATGCCGATTGATTACTTTTTCAAGAAAAAGGAAAGTAACTTCGCTTTGAGACTGAAGCTCACACCTGCAGATGAGGTTGCCTAACATGAACCCAGCCTGTGGAGAAAAGGTGGGTCCCAACCCACGCAGCCAGGAGCTGGGCCTGTCACTCTCCCGGGACATCAGTCACAACTGGACAGTGAATCCTAGTTCCTCTCCAAGTGCAGGTGGGAAAACATGCCAAAGAATATTCCCTGGAAATTCCTATACCCCCTTTCCATATCCCTGAGGAACTCACTAAAAATTCATCACAACTATGAAACAAACCGTACATGGAATTATTTGACAGAATTTGTGCTACATGTCAAACCCCAAACCAAAACCCATTGCCACTGAGTTGATTCCAACTCATAGTGACCCTGCAGGAGAGAGGAGACCTGCCCTCATGGGTTTCCAAGGCTGTAATCTTTAGGGTAGCAGGCTGCCACATCTGCCTTCCATGGAGTGACTGGTGGGTTCAAACTGCGGACCTTTCGGTTAGCAGCCAAGTACTTAACCACTGCACCACCAAGGCTCCTCTGACATACCTCATTTAACTATAAATATGAAACACCTGCAGCAACACCTCACCTACCCAGCATCATCAGGGTGAGCCACAGGAGAGCGTGTTCCAGCCAGGCAATGGAATCCTTTTATCCTCATTGCATTGTACAAACATTTTGATTCAAGTCTTCCTTAAAATATCACAAATTTCTTTGCCTTATAGAAGATACTATGTTGAATAGAATCTGGCTTTCCTCCATGATTCATTATTGTTATTAGAATTATAAGCTGTGTCTTGATGCCCTCATGGGTTTACTAATATGTAAGATGATTCAACTCTTCTTGTAGGCCTACTGTTCATGGCTTCTGTCTCAACCAATCACCACCTGCCCACTGCAATCATGCTCTACTTTGTAAAGCCCATTCTTATTCTTATTCCCGATTTGCTAACTGTGAAATGGCAGCATTTCCCAAGAGGGTATTGCAACATGCCCTCCAAGAAAGGATTTCCTGGTGAAAGTAGTCTAGTCCATGCAGCTGTCCAGGTCCTTTTCCTGCAGGACTTTTCAGGGCCTTTAATGCACTAATATATACTACGAATCTCCAAGACTGGGGATTTAAGCTTTCTCCAAAGAACGGGATATGAAGAAACATTCTCTAAATACATTTAACCTGAGAAACTTTTTTCAAGACGTTTTGGAGGGTGGAAAACCTATTAAAAGCTCCTCAAAGTTACATTTCAAAACCACTGACCTAGAGAAATCACATAAGCATGTGAAATCAGGTAGCCTGATTTTATTAAAGAAGGCACTACAGAGCCTGTGGGTGGCTGGTGGTAATTCCTAGCAAGTGTGCTTTGCATCAGCCTCTCGTCCTCGCTCTAAGACAACTTGACTGGTTTGCTCCTGAGTCTAGAACTGTGTCCCACATGGTGAAATGTGCTGGAAGCCTGACGGCACCTGTGAGGTACTGCTGCGTGAGGTTTCATGGTCAGAATCAAATCATCGTGCCTCATCAGTTTGTTTACCTGTTTATCCCCATCATCCGTTCTTTTGAAGGAATTTTTTTCCGTGGTCAAATATGCAATCTGGGCCTTGGTTCCATGCAGCTCAGCCAGGCTCCCAAATCGTACTTCCCCATCGCTCTTTGACATCATAAAGCAAGGCAGAGGCAATTCTTTAAGACCAGAATCAGAGAAGCTCGAGTGAGACTTTGGTTAAGAACTCTGCAAAAGGGGGAACTCAATGGCCAAAATATGAATCAGTTTTGAGGGAAAATTCCACGGCACTAAATATAGATTACATTTTGACTGAGATACAATTAGGACTCCTACGATAACGTCATGACAGAAAAATGCTACAGTTTTACAGAGGTATTACTGCTCAACATTCTTAAATGCTGCCGAATCTTCACAGAACAAATTCCAGTTTGGGGCTGATCATAAACTTCATCCTTCAGCCCAGCCCCATGGCAATGGATGTGGCATTGTACAAATACAGTAAGTGACAAATGGTAGCAGGCAAACCTTATATACCAAAAAAACTTACTACCACCAAGTCGATTCCAACTCATAGCGACCCCCTTTGGGTTTCCAAGGTGGCATATCTTTATAGAAGTAGATTGCCCAGTCTTCTTTCCGCAGAGTGGCTGGTGGGTTTAAACTGCTAACCTTTTGGTTAGCAATCAACTGTCTAGTGTTTATTATATGCCAGGCACCATATTAAGGATGTGCAAATATTAACTCATTTAATCCTCACAATAACTCTTTAAGACTATCATTTTGCTAATGTTCCAGATATAACAGCAGAGACAAAGGAGCTAAGTAAGTTCCCTAAGATCACACAGCTCATCTGTGGCAGAGCCAGCGTTTCAACCTGGGCAAAGTCCCTCCAGACTCCACACTCTCAACCATTATCCAGTGCCCTACCCAAAGGCCCACAGTTCCCAAGGAAAATGTACCATGTAGGGCAGTTTCTCAACCTATGTATTTGTATTAAAAATATTCAGATTCCAACTCATCTTTTCATAATAGAATAAGAAAAATGATATTAAGTTAGAGCAATCAGTGCAACTTTCAGCCAGATTTTACTGTCAAAACCACGAGCTGCACTAAAAAGCTACAAAGAGATGAAATGCAACGGTCTGGTATATTTACTTTTCTTTCAGGTTTCTGCCAAAATTATTCGGAAAATGGAAATGATGCCTTGGCACAGCTCTGGTTCTCAGCACAGTAAATCACACCCAATCACACAGTACAAAGAACTGCACAAATGGGGGTGTTATGGATTGTGCATAATGATCTGGATCTATAGCCATTGTTCAGGATAATACTCATCAGTGCGCCTTGCACTCCCATCAGCTTGCTATTCCAAAAACACAGCTGTGCTGCCAATGATTGATGCTGTGCTAAAGCCAGAGAACATCTTAGCAACAGCAAGCAAGTCTCCTAGCTCCCCAGGCAAAGGCAGCCCCGGTTCTCTAATATCCACATCATGTTTATTTTTAGTTGCTATGTCCACATTTGATTCAAAGGAGAAGGCAGTATGACAAATGCCTGTGTGATCAATCAGCCAAGGGCCCAAGAGACATAAATAGAATAACCATGATGGAAAATTAAACTAAGACTCTCCTGTAAAGAGAAGATGGCCACCATTTTCAATGCTTCAGTATCTCCCAATCTTGGGCAGCTCTCCAACACTCGAGGCAGGGATGGACTTCAAAAGAAAAATCTAGATTCTTAGTAAATCATATCCAAGCTAATCTTATGGTTCTGTTCTCAGACAGGTAGTTGTTTCCATTCAGTCAGCAAAAAGGATCTAAAAAGATGGAAGGAGATTACATCAAACACTCTGCATCCTGCCCACTGGAAGACGACTCTGCTTCCAAGCATTTCTGGAGGGGAAAGAAGCAACTGCTTGGCATTTACAAGCTCCCTGACCAGTGTTTTACTGGTAGTCGAAAGGTATCTCCACAGAGCAATGAGGCACCCATCCCACTGCTATTGAGTTGATTCCAACTCCTAGTGACCCTATAAGACAGAGTCGAACTGCCCCATAGAGTTTCCAAGGCTGTCAATCTTTACAAAATCAGACTGCCATACCCTTCTCCCACAGAATGGATGGTGGGTTCAAAACGCCAACCTTTTTGTTAGCAACTAAATGCTTAACCACTGTGCTACCAGGGCTCTATGCAATGGAGTACAGTCATGGTATTACGAACGGCAACAGTTCCCCAAGGACTTAACTGGGCACTCAAACGTCCTTCAGGACACTGTCACTTCACACATTCTCCATCCCTGGCTAGGGCATTTCTCCAGAACTCTCCCTGTTCACCTGAGAATGAACCTCTCTTCCCCAGGCAGTGACCAAACGGCAAAAGACAAACTTCAGCTGAATTCCTCCATACTTTCCTTGGCCATGTGGTTTCAAGCAACTCTCACTTAATAGAATTGTAAACCGTCACATCACAATATTCCTATCATTGGAAGTTTTAATGAAGGGGCCGCTCTTCTTAAACTGCTGCAAGCTTTTAAAAAGTAAAAGGTAACTCTAGCTTGTAAATCTGCAGTCTAAATGGTTTTCCATTTATTTTCATACATAAATCAATTCTGATAGTAAGAACTTTATTAGAAAATTAACTTGTAAAAAGTATCTATTATGCAATAATGTGCACCAAATAATCATAAAGTCTCTTTGCGGTAGCTGGTCAGAATCTTGTCCCAAAATTAAATTAAACTAACACAGAAGAGACTTAAAATTAAGAGTTCAGATTAAATGGTTATAAGGGCCAAGGAGATAATGAGTGCAGCCATCCAGGGCCAACAACTTGTTTCATAATGGCATCTTTGGTTGTAGTCTTTGAACACAGAAACGCTTTGTATATTAAATATCAACGATTATTTTTCACTTGCAAAAGGAAAGTATGTCTCTTCTTTGTTAAATGTGTCCTTGAGAAAGAGAGGAAAAAATCATGTGTGTTTTCATGCTTAATAGAGACACGGATTTAAGAAATACTTCAATTTCCTCAATCCATTAGAATACAATAAGCAGTACAGATTCAAAGATAAATGGCAAATGATGACGAGCCTCATTACCTAGACAACGGTGGGGGGGTTGGCAGAGAGCCCACTGTCATCTTAAATGACAAATGCTGTTCCCTCTCCTTCAGTGCTACCCAATGGAAATATAAAGTAAGGCACATACTTTTAAATTTTATAGTAGCCATATTTTAAGAAAGAAAGAAACAGGGGAAATTACTTTTAATAACGTATCTTCACCCAACATTATCATTTCAACATGTAATCAACATACAAAATTCTTAAGGAGGTATATTTTATTTTGTATCCTTCCTCCATATTAAGTCTTCAAAGTCCAGTGTGCATTTTGGCCTTCCTATACGTCTTGATTTGGACTCGCCACATTTTAAGTGCTCACAGCCACATTCACCCCCTGCCAACCATCCTGCAAGAGCGTGGCTCTAGTTGATGGCTGCCATGAGAAAAGGTGGACTGCTATGGCCAGAAATCTGGATTTTACCAAGAAATATTATCATGCTAAATGTCAGCAGCTAATGTTTTCATTATATGAATGGTATTTTGTATGGAAGAGTAATTTATATAGATCTAAGTGTACCATTTGAATTCTCACAAATGTATATATTCATGTAACCGACACCCAAATGAAGAAAGAGAACACTTCCTTCACACAGAATTTTCCTTTATGTTCGTTTCTAGTCAATCCCCTCCCATTGCCCCACCTGGCAACCACAGTTCTAATTTCTAAACCCACAGATCAGTTGTACCATTGTAGACCTTCATGTAAACTGAATCACACAATATTTTACCCTTGTGATTTGCTTCCTTCACTTAACATTTTGTCTAATGCACTGTGTGTGGACACAGTTCATCTGCTGCGCTGACATGGTGTGATTCAGTTTATAAACACACTGAAGTTTTTTTTATCCATTCTCCTAAGATGAACATTTGGATTTTTCCTATTATGAATAAAACTGCGATGAGCATTCCTATGTTCTTGATGGACATGAATTCCTTCATCTTGGGTACAGACCTATGAACCAAATCCAGCCCACTGCCTAATGTTGTATAGGCTGTGAGTTAAAAATGGTTATTAGATTTTTTGATTTTTAAAAAATATCAAAAGAAAAATAGTATTTCGTGATGCACAAAAATTATGTGAAATTCAAATTTCAGTGTCTTTATAAATAGTTTTATTGGAGCACAGCCACACTCATTTGCTTTCATATTGTCCATGCCTATTTCGAAGCCACAACAGCAGAAATGAGTAGTTGTGAGAGAGACCACATGGACCACAAGGCCTAAACTATTCACTAACTGGCCCTTCAAAGAAAAGTGTATTGACCTCTGTCTTACATGATGCAATAGTTAAAGAGAAATGTAGTTCTAAAAACTAAAAAAACCAAACTCACTGCTGTCGAGTCAACCCCGACTCATAGTGACCCTTCCTTGGATTTTCGAGGCAGTATCTCTACGGAAGTAGATTTCCCAGTCTTCCTTCCGAGGAGTGGCTGGTGGATTTGAACCACCAGCCTTCTGGTTAGCAGTCAAGTGCCTTAGGCACTACGCCAATGAAGTCCTACTAAAACAAAAAAGTTGTGTTGAACAAAATAGTAGAGTAAGACCTTTAGAGTCATAACCTGTGAAAGGTGTAAACCTGTCAGAGAAGGAAAATGAAAATATTTTCCCTAAAGTTACTTTTGGGGGAAAAAAATCAGGTCTTATCAACCCAGGCCTGTGTTGGTCAAAGCCTTCTAGCCTCCTATCTGCTTCAGCAACCTGTGAATCTGAAGAACCTCTTGCTAATTTGGAAAGGCACAGCTCAACAGCTAGACTGAAAGGTGAAGACTGCAGTAGGATGGGTGATCTGGTCATTTGGGGCAGGAGGGTTGTGGATAAAGTACATTCACTGCCACACCATGAACATAATCCAAGAGTGACTTAGGAGAAGATCTACAGTACTACCAAGCAGCATCTCTGTTCTTCACCACTTTGGACCTCAGTTTTCCCATATGGAAAAGAAGATTGTCTGTAGGCCTCTTCCAATTTACAACCTCTGTGTCTACTCAGACACTATACTTCTCTGGGGCAAGGCTCTTAACTGGAGCCCTGAACTTTGAGGGTAACAATTTGTACAGAAATG